CCTTCTTGGATTTAATCCATAGGAGACACATAAATGTTAATTACATGTTAATTAATTAACTCCCCCTACACTGCCATAAATTTTAGCAATAAAATTGTAGCTCAGACCCCAAACACATTTAAAGTTCCAGTTTCTTTCCTACTACTGTATACTTAATTATTCTTATTTTTTTCCTATTGTATATTTATAAATATACTGCTTTGTTCTGGTTTTCTCACTTTCTTAATTCAAAAGGAAGAAATTGCTTTCAGTAGAAAAGAGGGCACTGCAATGTTAATTAAGAATCCAACAACAGCCCGGTCTTGATGGTACAGGCCTTTAATCACAGCACTCAGACCGAGGCAGGCCGATCTCTGTGAGAGGCCAGGCTGGTCAACAGGGGAGGTTCCAGAACAGCCAGGGCGACACAAAGAAACCCTGACTCACACCCTCCCACTCACCCTCCCCCCGACAAGAAAAAAAGAAAATAATCCAGTAAACGGGGTTGGGGAGAGAGCTCACAAAAGGGACACCCACAAAAACATGAAGAGGAAGATGTGAGTTCAGATCCTGGTAACTCCCACAAAAACACCCTCAACTGTAACTTGAGCACTTAGGGAGGGTGGCAACCTAAGGAGCTCTGTAGCTCATTGGCTAGACAATCTAGCCAATCAGTGAGCCAGATTCAGCGAAAGCGATCAGGTTTCAGGAAGGAGGAAGAATAGGTGGTGAGCTATGCAGGAAGGCAAGTAACAACTCCAGTTGATCTCCCCAAGCACCTACACCAAACACACACAGGCTAGCACAAATCCCATTTTTCCCTCATCTTTCAAGGACTCTTGGTGTCTACTTGTTCATAGGTTCAAAGAACTTCCCAAAAACTTAGAATCTTTTCCCTACTAAACCTGACTGACACTCTCCTTGATTTGCAAATGCAGTGTCCAGCATTCCTAGCATAAAAAAAAAAAAAAAAAGAAATTGATCGCAACACGTGACTCTTACCTCAAGGCGGTGGTAAAAGGCAGAACCGTCTGGCGGCCTTCACAACTGCTGTGCACCCCAAGACTTCTCCTAAGGATCTAGCATTGATTTTAAAAGAGGAAAAGAAAGAAAATAAAAAAAAAAAAAATCAAAGCCCTCTCCTTAAGCCTCCACATCTATAATCTCCAATTCAAACTCAACATGCATAGTTTCACACGACATCTCTCTGTGTATTAGAATACAGTCAGCCAGTTCCACGTGAGGCGAAATTAACTTTAATCATTCACATCATCCCCATATTCTAAATTCACACAACAAAATTCCTCATTGTAAACAAGAGTAGTGCTATCTAGGGACAGTACAGAGGCAGGAAGATAAAGGAAGATAAAGGTTCAACACCAGCCTGGGCTATATAGGTCAGCCCATCGTATGTATGATCGTATGTATGATCGTATGTATGATGACAGGTGGCAGTTACCAGGGTGGTTTGACACAATCTTCATTTCTCTGGTTTTCACCTTTAAAATTCGAGATCCTTTACAGTATACACACTGGGAAATAGGTATTCAACTCATTTAAATATACATATATATATTAAAATCATAAATTATACAAAGTATTCCCGTAATAACTTTTTACTTAGTGAATCAAAATTATATTCTTACAACGACAATACTTACTTTATAAGTAGATATGTAAGTTAGTGAATAACTTTTTAACCTGAAATTACATGGATCAGAGAACAAAATGACAGGCTCGTAGAAAAAACAAATTTAAAAAGTTTTTTTTTTCACTTTTTGCAGTTTTAAGCACGTTTTACTTTGATTTCTCCTTAACGTTCCAAATTAAGCTACCTGTCATGACTCAGAGTGGGGGAAACAGTGAATGATAAAAAAAAATTTCTTATCTACGGTATGCCGATCTCAAATCTCAGAATAAAAGGATTTCTTTTTTAATGTATGCAAGAAAGAGCGGAAATCACAGGGCCCGAAAACTCCCAATTCATTGTTGTCTGATTTACAAACTTTCTATTTCTGATCAGCACGGTTCCCACATCTAGCTGCTAACTCGGGTCCTCTAATTACTTCCACGTCTAAACCGACTGCGTAGCTACAAGTAAAGGCCAAACTTTGCTCTCTGCCTCGCGAACTTAGGATGAGTGCAACCACTAGAGGTCCCCCTCGGCCAGTTTTGCAGGCTCACTATTTTGCTACACTTGAAACTTTCCGGAGAAATGCTCTCTACTCGAGTCAGTGTTTTTCTAAAAACTTGTGCAAAAATCCACGCGACCGAGGTAGCCAGTACAAAGCCTCCAGGGCTCCCCACACCAATAAAGACATCACAACCAACCATCTACGAAAACCGAAATAAAAATTCAACACACACACACACACACACACACGGGTTTTTATTTCTCGTCTCAGTTTCCTTTAACTTAGAACAATTTTTTAAAATCTATTTTTGTTCCTGGGCACTTTGGGTGATCTCAAATGCATGTTTCTGGCGGTGGCCCCGAGATGGCAAAGGAGCGGGCCAAGGGATGCAGAAGGCGGGGGGAAGGGCCGTGCAAACGGCGCCCGAGGAAGTTGCATAAGGAAAGAGACTCCGTTTTTCGCCCCCCCCCCCAAAAAAAAGAGAGAGAAAAAAAATCAACGGGGAAAAAGGAGGAAAAGGAAGCTGGGCGGTGGCTGCAGGACAGAGAAGGGAAACCAAAGCGACGTTTACCTTCGTGTCCCCGTGGAAGGGTGGGGCAAGAGCCTTGACCCACGCGACCCGGCAGTGCGGCTCGATCTCCCACCCCGGCTATCACGGAGCGCGGACGGACAGACAGACCTCTGCCTCGCGCGGGCCGGGCGCGGAGCAAGTCGCCCAGCCGGTCAACTTTCTCTCACGGTCGTGCGGTGGGCCGCGATCGGGGGTTCGGATCCCACAACCCTCTTTTTTTTTTTTTTTTTTTTGTCTTTTTGGGTTTTTTTTTTTTTTCTCCACCCTCAGGAGGCGATTAAAGTTTTCCCTCCGCCAGCGCGCCCCTCGGCCCGCCGCTCTCTCAAGTTTGCCTCCTCCTCCGGTCGGCGGCTGGCGGGGCGCGCGGCGGATGCCTCCGCTCCTGCGCTTCCCGATCCCCACCCCCGCCGGCCTCTACTTCCCCCGCCCCGCCGCCACCGCCGCCACCGCCGCCCCGCCGGGCCCAGGACGCGAGCGGGGACCAGACAGCAGTCCATGAGCGCAGAAGGGCGGGCGGGCGCACGCACGCGGCGCGAGGCGGACCCGGCTCGCCGGCCTCGGCCACCGCGGGCGACCGTAAACAAGTTGCAGGCAGCGCGGCCCCCCGCGGCAGCCCCGCCGCCTCGCCTCGCCTCTCCCACACGCCCGCCCGCCCGCCCTCCCGCACCGGCGGCGCTGCACCGACAAGAACGCGGCCGCGACGGCGCGGGTGCCCGGCCCGCGCCCTCCTCCCCGCGGGGACGCCAATGCCGGGCCCGCGCCGCCGGCCGCGCTCCCTTAAAAAGCACTTTCCTGTCTCGGGCAGGGGGAAAAAAAAATCCAGCGGAGGCTTTATTTCTTTCTTTCTTTTTTTTTTTTTTTCCGTGCAACTTTCCCAAAATGGCGGAAATTGGAGGCGATCTCTAGGAAATTCTCCCACAGTCGGCGGCGGCGGCGAGCGGGGGAGGTGGCGAGCGGGGAGAGCACACGCAAACTCTCGGCCGCCGGCCCCGCCGCGGCTCGGGTGTGCGTGCGTGTGAGGGTGCGTGTGCGCGGTGCGAGTCGCGGAGGCCTCTCGGCTCGCGCTCACACTCAACACACACACACCGACACACACACACCAACACACACACACCGACACACACCAACACACACACACACACACACACACACACACACGGCCGCGCCGGCGAGACGCGCCTCTGCCACATTCAACCAGTCCGTTCTCCGCAGCCGAGCCGGGAAGCAAAGTGGCCCGGCCTCTTTTCCCACTGCCTCGGTCTCCCGTACTTGGACTTCTCGCGCTCGCTCGCTCGCTCGCTCGCTCTCCCGGTGCGCGCCCGGCACAAAGGCCACACGGGCGGATGGGGCCGCAGGGGCGGCGCGCCGGGGCTGGCGTCCTCCCGCCGCCGCCGCACCGAGTCTCCACCGCGATCGTCCCCACGGTCCCCTCCCGAAGCCGGCGCCCCCTGCCCCTGGCCGACCGCGCTCGGCGCCCCCCGGGGAGGCTGCGGCTCCGCCGCGGTGTCCCCCCCCCCCCCCCCACACACACACCCAGCGCCGCCCCGGACACGCAGCCCCGCGGCGCCGCACTCCCCCCCCCACCGCCGCCACCCCGCGCCCGGTGTCAAAAAAGCGACCAAAGTGACAAGCTCCGGGGGGGGGGCGCGGGGGAGGGGGCCCACACGCATCCCGCCGCCTGCGCGCCGGCGACAGCCCGACGCGGCCGCCTCGGCCCGCTCCCTTCCGCACGGCCCCCCACACCCTTCCCCGTGTGCGCGCAAAAGGAGGAAAAAATACAAGTCTCTCCTCCCCCCATTTTTTCCTTTCTCTTTTCTCTCTCTTTTGTTCCTCTTTCGCACTCGCGCTTACTACTTCAGAGTGAGATGCCCACAGACTCCCCCACCAGCAGCTTCCGAGTCACTTGCCCACTTTTTTTCCCCGGGATTAAGTTTTCTCCTCTTTCCCAGAGGCGCAGAGAAGTGGGGGAGAAACCCCTTCTCTCCTTCCCCTCCCCTGATCGCTTTCCCAAGACGAGGGTGCGCTTCCTTCCCTCTCTAGCTCTCGGAACTTTCATCCTCACCCAGAAAAAAAATCAATGAATGGCTTTGGCACGGGCCGAGCTGCGGATTAATTAGAGATTAGATCCGATCAGCCGCTTCTTACCCCCAAATTTTCTCTTTTTTTTTCTCCGTCTCACGAGTAGTCCTGACAAATGGTCCAGGGCTGCGGGCGCAGTGCGCATGTGCGCGTAGAGTCAGGGCTGGGGAGAGGGGAAACTGCGCTGGTGCCGGTGCCGCCGCCGCCGCCGCCGCCGCTGCCGCCGCCGCCGCCGGGGAGGCTCGCGCTGGCTTCCCTGTTACTGCTGCTGCGCCTTCGCCGCTGGAAAGCAGCAATTGAGCGGCTCGGCCGAGGCGGCCGCCCGCAGACACTGGTTCAGGTGCATCCCTTCGCGATCCTTGGCGCTGCTGCTTCCGAGCTGGGTCGGAGAACGGCCCGAACAAATGGGAAAGACTGAGAAGGTTATAGATTTCTTTGTCTGCTTTTGCACTTTACTTTTTTCCTAAGGCAATTCTCAGAGCAGCGAATCCACCATGTGCTGACTAAATGTGTGCGTTCAGCCATTAAAGAGTGGGCCCTGGTTTCATCCCAATTGCTATCCAGGGGCTGAATACATGCCACAGGTCAAGAAAAATACGAAATAAAGTTCTAAGCTTGCAACGGAGTTTAATTTGCCCTTTTCGAGACTGGAAGAATGCATAATCAAGTCAGAAACTTGCGCGTTCGTTCCGCATCCTAAATGGGATTTCTATTGACAGCTTCAGCGGGTTAGGCCTCTGTTCTAAGGGACGCTGGGAGTTCTACCTCAACTTAGAAATCCCTGATAAAGTGCCTAGGCAATAAGACGGGACCGCCCGCTTAATGTTCTCAGGCAAGATGGCTGAGCTCTCCTAAATAGCAAACCCTGCCTTTGTCAGCGCGTCAAATCTGGATCCAGCTAGTATTGTATTTCGATATTGACAGTTTTCTGCCTACGGACTGCAAGCTGGCTTTGGGGGAGTTTACGGTTCCCCTTTTCTACGAGGTTCGGGGGGCAGGCAAAACAATCCGAAGTCATTAAAGTTGCAATACATAAGTAGATAACAACAGGAGAGTTTCCTGTGAGGGGAAAGGGGGAAAATGCAGCAACGTGTGATTTCGGAGACTGTGAGGCAAGACTAGCTCTTCTCTGAGGAGAAAGGGGAAGCAGTGGGGAAGTAAAGGAAAGCTCCGCCCCCAGCATGTACTGTTTGCTTCGCATCTAATGAAGGGTACAGGGGCCTTTCTCTGCTATTGTTACCCGAGGCCTAGAACTTAAATATATCAAAGATGGAAATTCCATATTAAAAAGCCTTCCCCTAAAAAGTAAGATTATTCTTGATTGAATTTTTTTTTTTCACTGAAGGAATGTTCCTTGAACTAGCTTCAGAAAATAAACTCTTAAATTCCTTCCTCAGGCCCGTGAAATTGCCCTAGAGAAACATCACCACCCATTTCTTCTGGTACTGTAGAGACCAGCTCTCCAACTCCCAAATTGAGGTACATAGCTTAACATGTGCTTTGGGACACAGGTGCTAACTAACTCTGCAGAGTTTAAATGGGTTTGTAAAAGAAGCTTCATGTGTTGCACACACCGTGGCTGGTTCAGGCGTGTGCAGCAGGGACCGTCTGGTTAGTGAGAGCTATTGATTACCTCAGATCACCACCTGAGGACTGATTTTACTCGTTAAGTTCAACCTGCTGCAAGGACAGCTTCATTAGCAGACAGGAATTTCAGCTTCTCCCCTTTTCTTCCCAACTCTTGAATAACCGAGTGAAATGGCCAAAGGCAGACTACAAGCGAAAGAAGGGCCGAGAGTTTTGTGATAACCTAAGACCTTGCCCCCAAGAAAATCAAATTTCCAATTCCTCTTTCTAAAACTCCATCTTAAAGTCATTCTCTAAAAAAAAAAAATTAGGTGATATTTCTGTTTCGTGTGTGTGTGTGTGTGTGTGTGTGTGTGTGTTCATAGGCATTTTATTCAATGGTCTTTTTTTTTTCACTGGGTTTTTGGGTTTGGTTTGGTTTGGTTTTGGTTTAAAGTCTTCTACTGCAACCCAGGTTGGCCTAGATTCACAGCAATTATTTAACTCAGCTTCTTAAGGGCTGGGTTAGTAGATGTTTGCTGCCCTGACCGCCCACCCTTCCTCCAAGGTGCCTCAGATGAAAAGATGCCCAAAAATAACATTATATGCAACTTTGTTAAGTAATAAACCATGGTAGCAGGAACAATGGAGGTGTACCCTTAGCAATAAGGAACGATCCAGGATGTATGATGGCCCATTATCTTAGAAGGAGTCTATGAAGGGCAACCAATCAGAGAAGCCTATTACGGTCAAGGGTTTAGAGAGTATGCCTTATATGGAAATCTGCCCTGGTGCGGGTAGGCTAACAGAAATGGGGATGACTTGAAGTTGGATACAATACATTGTATCTTTGCTCCCAAAGTCACTGTGGAAACTTTGTCTCAAGTTGTTATAGCCCTACATAGTGGAGATACTGAAGATAATGAGGACCTGTCAGAATAAGGACTTTAAAATCTGTCCTCCCCCTACCCCCCCCCCCCAAAAAACCTGGAATGGCACCATCACAGACAAGCAAAAATGCCATTAGAACCTAGATAACAGTTTTATTCTTTATGTAAATTGGTACCGTCATCAGTACATTGGACCACTTTTCCCCAGAAAAGCAATATGTTAATAGAAGCTTCCTTGCCCTGCCTTCCGTGCTCCACTAATCATTCACTGGCCAATTGGCGAATACTTTTTGCTTCTGGCCAGCATCGTTTAATCTCCTCCTGCTCTACCTCTTGTTTATCTGACTCTGCCTCATCCCAGAACATGAAAATACCAAACTCACTTTTCAGATATAGGCCTACCACTCCCCTGATGTCCAAAACAAGGGGATTACCCCAGTTCCTTATTTTTCTATGTGTTTTAAATAACAAGTATCCATTCATACCCCCTACACACACATACAATGTCCATGCCTAGATATGCTGAAGCCAAAGTAATTTTCTATGGAAAATATTTTAACCAAATTATGGCGTTCACTCTTCAACAACATCTTGAGGCTTCTCTAGAGTTCCCAAGTGGCAGTCATTCAAAACCTCTGCCTTTACGTTCTGTAACGGCTAGTGCACAACTTTCAAGTTAGAAACTTTCACTTCCTGTCCCCAACACTAAGCAGGTCCTGCCCTTTAGGACACAGGCCTGCGATGGATGGCCTCCTCTATGAGCCAGTGCCCCCACCTTTAGTTTAAAGATGTCCAAGGATGAATGAAGTCCAGGAGGTCTGTGTTCTGTCCCACAGGAGCTACCCCCACTAGGACCCACTGAGCAGGCCCATTCATATTTTGGGGCCTCCATTCTCTTCTTAGTTTAACAGTGCAAACAGGCTAACTGATTTCTGAGCCTCTTTCAAAACCCATGTGCCTCTGCCCCTCCTAATATAACAGGCACTGGTCACATTTTAGTACAAATGATATAGAACCCAGTAAGTAATCTGAGTCAGGAGTGAGGGGTCATCCACCTTCCAGGTAGCAGAATGTTGTCAAGGGAGAGCTCGCTCCCTGGGCTTAAGCTTGTACTAATGAGATAGAGGGCACGGATTCCATTTCCCTAAGGCCGGTTAGATTTGATTGGCTTTATAGTCGCTGGCTGCTTAACTCAGAACCTCCGGTTGCAATGTGTGTGATTGGCCATCAGTCTTATGGTAAAGATGACTATTTCTAGAAAAACTGTTTAAGTGAACAATACTAAAAATTGTGCATTTTACTGAATTGTCTTACTTTTAAATAAGCATTGAGTGATCAGGTGATTGCTGTGTTTTGTTTGCCTAGGAAATTGTGTACTTCATGTTATTCCAAGGATGTAAATTTGGTCTCACACACATTCTTATTATTGATATTTTTTTTTTTCGAGACAGGGTTTCTCCATAGCTTTGGGGCCTGTTCTGGAACTAGCTCTTGTAGACCAGGCTGGTCTCAAACTCACAGAGATTCACCTGCCTCTGCCTCCCAAGTGCTGGGATTAAAGGCATGCACCACCACCCAGCCTATTACTGATACTTTTTTTTTTTTTTTTTTTTTTAATATAAGATTTATTTATTACATATACAGTGTTCTGCTTGCATGTATACTTGCAGGCCAGAAGAGGCCACCAGATAACATTACAGATGGTTGTGAGCCACCATGTGGTTGCTGGGAATTGAACTCAGGGCCTCTGGAAGAGCAGTCAGTGCTCTTAACCTCTGAGCCATCTCTCCAGCCCCTATTACTGATACTTTTAAGAGCTCAGTTAGAGCTTCTTCTGAATTAGGACTTCTTAAACTTTTCTTACTTGTAGCTTATCTTTGCTCCAATTTTTTTATAGGAATTTGGATCTATGAGTATATAAAATAGGTATATAAATCAAGCACTTATTTATAATAAATTAAGAAAAAATTTTGTTTTAAAACAATTTTTTGATATTATAGCCATACCATTTATAAAGATAAAAGCAAATTTGCATACTAATGTAATGAGTAGGTTTGTTTATCGATCAGAACATCAAGAATTAAATCTCATCTGAATATTTAATATTGCAGGATGTAGAGCAGCGTCATGACTTTCAGAGTTTATTGACATTTAAATTTTATAAGCATGAATGCAGCGAATGCAATTCACACAAATATGTACTACAAAAATGGCAGAAATATGTTTAGAAACATTTCAGAGATTCTTGAAAATGTTTTCCTAATTCTAAGTAAAAATTCATTTGATAATTTATTTTATGACACTCAAGACAGCAATGCAAGTGGTAATTTTTAAAATTAAACATTTAAACAAAATATAATACAAAGATATACTTGATAAATACTTTGATATTTATGTGGTGAGGGACAATAGTAAAATATGAAAACTCTTTGTTTTCTGTAATTATAGCTTTGTGCTTATTTAAGAGCAGAAAGCTTTGTATGTACTATCAAAACACTGTAGGTCACAGCCTGCAACAGCATCAAATCGAAGCTCTGGTGTTTTAGGCGACCTCTTCTGACATTCCATGGTGCAGCTGTGCACTCATTGCAATGTGCACTTGCTGGATGTTAGAACCAAGGCTGCAGTAAAGTCACGAAACAACACGGGCATCAGGTACTTCCAGATATGGCTTAGATGTATGCCCTAAATGTTTGACTTTGAATTCATCTCTGGTTGTTAGATGATCAAGAACCGTGTGCCGTTAGCAATTGTTTTGTGTACATGACCTCCTCATTCAGGAGTAACCCAAAGTAGAGATGCGATCCACATCTTGAGAAGAGTTCTACATAACACTAAAGGGCTCTTCCAAGTACTTTAATTCCAATTCTGATTCTCATTCTTGTGACCCATCTGTAGAAGTTATTAGCACAAAGCTTGTGATAGTGAAATGTAATTGATAGTTTCAAGAACGGGCTAGATGTCCCAGCACTTGGGTCACACCGAGGCCTGAGGATCAAGAGATCAATTAGGACCCATCTGGACTGCCTAGGAGACTGGCTGAAAACTAACAAGCCAAAGTCAAGTGTCTTAGCGGTCGAGATCTCTTGCCTGCCACACAAAGGATCCATCCGATCCCCAGCACTGCTAAAAATAAAAACACTAAATAAGTAAAACAGGAAAGAAAATTTAAAAAGGAGATCTAAATCTCAAAGCCTCGGAACTGAGGAAAATTAATGAGAACAAACCAGATTTTAGAATATATCGGTAGCAGTTGTCCCCAGCTATTCTCTTAGCAATTCCCTTTGTTTTTACCCTGGCTTCCTGGCCACAGGTGGTTGGATCAGGACTTAACAATTTTACGGAATAATCCAAGAAAAAGGCCTCCATATTTAGTTGTAATGAAAATGGTAAAGACACTGCCCATGGTTTATTATATTTATCAGCTATTAGAAAAAGGTAATTACATAGTGTATTGAAAATTCTAATTACTCTTTAAAGTAAAAACTTGGAGTCAAACATTAGGGGGTGAAAGCTGAAATATTAGAGAAGCAGAGCGGCCAACCACTAGTTCTTACCTCTAGGAAATCCTCAGACCGAACGGGGTATCCTGTCTCTATAAGTACTCAGACTAAATCCCGAGAGCTCCTGTCTCCTCCCACCTTATATTCCTCTCTCTACCCAGTCATATCCCTTCCTGTCTCCACTTCCCTAGTGCTGCAATTAAAGGTGTGTGATTCCCAAGTGCTGGGATCAAAGATGTGAGCTCTGTTTCTCTTTTAGACTGATTCCATCTCATGTAGGGGTGGGGGAGGGGGGGTTGGAACTCACAGAGATCCGCCTGCCTCTGCCTCCTGAGTGCTGGGATTAAAGGTGTGCTCCACCACTGTCTGACCTCTAAGGCCAGCTAGTGGCTTAGCTCTGCACTCTGATCTTCAGACAAGCTTTATTTGTTAGATTACAAACAAAATATCACCACAATATATATATTAACAGATGCTATGCTTCGGATACAAAATGTCTCTGGAAGGCTGGTGTGTTCAAGACTTGGTCTCCAATGCAATTGCAGAGTAAGGGATTTGGGGAAGGGACTAGATCAGGAGGCTTCTCTTTGACCTGCTCAGTGATTTAATCCTTCACTGGATTCATAGCTGAACGGACTATAGGTAGTGAAGGGAACCATGGAACACAGTCTTGACTAGCATAAGCAGGTTAGTAGAAGATATCTTTAAAGGGCATATCTTGTACCTGGCTCTTCCCCTGCTCTGTTTCTGAGACCTGCCTATACTAAAGGGACCAGCCTAATCTTCCACTACCCAGCTCTACCTCATTTCAGACCCAGAGCAATAATCTCAGCCCAGGAAAAAAAAAATACTGAACCCTCAGAAACTATGAACCTGGACAAACTCTTCTGGTCCAAATTGTTTTCTCGGGTATTTTTGTTACAAATAAAAAACAAACACAAGTTATACAGTAATTCTAATATGTTTATCAAAGTGGGATGATTGAGTGAAGGTAACTCTGTTACTTCAGACACTTTATTTACTCATGCTCTCCTCTGTCTAGCTGAAATATTGTATCCATTGGCCCACATCTGCACATTCTCAGATACTCCACCCTCTGATGATCACCATTCTGCACAGCTTCCATGTCAGGATTCTGCTAAAAGAACCCTTGATGGTTATCATTCGGGGCCGAGTGGATTTCATCTCTGGGTCATGATACTGTCTCAAATGAAATAAGCTCCCAGTTTTTCAAGCTGAATTTTTCCTCTATGTGTTCATGTCAGCTTTTCGCTTATCGGTGGGTGGACACAAGTTGATTCCACAGGTCTACTATTATAAACGGTGCTACAATAAGCACAAGAGCGAGTGCAAAAATCTTCGCACACCGTCTTCAACTCTTTGGGTATATACCGAGATGTAGTATGGGTAGAACATGAATAGTTGTAGTGTCGGTGGTTTTTGAGCACCTCCATGCTCTTTTCTGTAATGACGTCACAGTGTGACATCCTCCTGGTGTGCTCCCTGTTCTGGCCCACACGTCTCTTTCCCTTTTCCATAATGGTCTTCCTAACGTGAGTGTGGTAACAGCCAATTTTGTCCCCCAAATGACAAATGGTTGAATATTTGTTTCGTATCTGTTGGCTATTTGTATGTCTTTGTTTGAGACGTACTTCGTCAGGCTTCTGTCTGTTCCTGTGGTGTGTCTATCATTCAGAAGTGAGAGCCCACCAGGAACGTGAGCCAAGACAAAGTCTTCATAACTCCTAGTGAGTGTGCAATAAATGCTGATTAAGCAACGGACAGAAATACTATGATGCATATTATCATACCACCCTCCCGCTTGTTCCTTTCTTACTGGTTACCAGGCCATAGATATCATGCCAAAGGGGTATTCATGGGCAGGAGCTTCTGGAAAGTTGCCTAAAAAGCACATAAACAGAGTGATGATGGAATCCGTAGGCCCTATTTCAAAGGAGCCTGCTGTTCGAAATCTAGTATCTTTATTTAGCATTTGTATTACGCTTTACACTCTCCGTCCTTTTTGCATTTTTAACTAAATATTTGTTTAAAGCATTCCCACATTATCTTTCATAAGAGAGATAACCGAGGCAAGGTTCCAGTAGCTAATACCTATATTTGGTATTACAAAATGCTGACTTTATCACATAACTGCAGTAAATCTCTCTCTCTCTCTCTCTCTCATTGTGTGTGTGTGTGGTCTCTCTCCGTGTGTGTGTGTGTGTGTGTGTGTGTGTGTGTGTGTAACACTATCCTGTGTAGAAGGCTGAATGGGATGTCACTGTGGGAGAAGTAATCTGTTACTTTCCATTATACTACCTGTCTCGCACTTGGTTCTATTTCAGAAGTTGGAAACAATAGGAAGGTTTTATGCTGAGGGTTTTCAACCGGCTTAACATCTTCAAAGAATGTAATTTTGAAATTTCGTATTAGACTCTTTCACCATAGCTCAGTAATTTCTCAATATTTTCCTATGACAAGCTGTTCAGGAAAGTAGTTCTTAGGGCTTGGGGGATGGCTGATCGGATAAAGCTCGGGAACGTGAGCTCTATCCCCAGCAAACATGTAAAAAGCTGGGCGCGGTGGTGCATGCTTGCAAGCCCAGCACTGGGGAGGCAGAGACAAGCAGGTCTCAGGGGCTTGCTCGCCAGACAGCCAGCCTAGACTGATTGCGGAGTGTCAGATGAGGGAGACCCTGTCACAGCCACAGGAAAGATCAAGGTGGATAGCACCTGGGGAACAGAGGAGGCTGAGGCTTTTCCTTTTTTTTTTTCTACATGTCTTCACACACATGTACTCCCACACAAGTGATTATATATACACACATTACACCCCCCCCCCCAAAATACACAAGGTAGCTCTTTCTAGTGTTTTTACTTAGGAATGGGGGAGTTAGCTGTAAGTAAGCCCCTGGAATCTGTTAGCAGTAAAAATTAAAATTGATAAAACTCAGCCTTACACTGATGAAATCAGCAAAGACTGCTGTAGTGTAAGGTTCTGTACACACCCTCAGGGCATTTGGGAAATACCCAAGCCTGATTACAGACAACACTAGAGTTTCAGGAAGTGGATGCCCATTGCTCTGAAAGAGATACTGGCTTTTGCTCACTGTCTTTAGATACTGAAATGTTATTAATTGCAGAGGAGCTGTCAGGAAAGCTGGGAGACTTACCCAGTGGCCCTAGCAGGATTTATTGCTCCAAACCAGCCTTTCTCTGAGGATCTCCTCACTCACTAGGTGCTCTCTCTCTCTCTCTCTCTCTCTCTCTCTCTCATCAAATATCTCTAACATTTCTCTTTAACTTCCAAACTTTTATCTCCAGAGAAACAAGATCCGTATTTCGTACCCATGCTTTGCCTTTAAATGTGTTCTTGATTATGCCCTCTGTCAGAGTAGGTTTAGGTCAACTTGACATAGCATCATTTTGGAAGGGAACCTCAATCAGGAAAATACTCCCAACAGATTGGCCCATGGACAAGACTGTGGTGCACTTTCCTCATTGATTAATATGAGAAGGCCCAGCTCACTGTGGGCGGTGCCACCCCTAGGCTGGTGGACTGGTGTGCTATAAGAAAGCAGGCTGAGCAAGCCAGGAGGAGCAAGCCAGTAAGCAGCATTTCTCCATGGCCTCTACAACAGCTCTTGCCTCCAGATTCCTGCCTTGAATTCCCAACTTCCCTCAATAATTGGTTTCAACCTGAGAATTACAAGATGAAATAAATCCTTTCTTGACCAAGTTGCTTTTGGTCATGGTGTTTATCACAGCAGTAAAAACTCTAAGACACCCTCTCCCTAACCAATGAATTGTCATCATCCTCTCAAAATTTCCAGACTATCCTTCTAGAACTTTCTTCATAGCCAAAGGCCATTTTTCTTCTTCCAAATCTTAGCCAGACAGAAAAAAAACTTTCCTCATTTCTCCATAATCTCTCCCTTTTCATTGCTTTCTTTACTTCCAAATTTCCAACACTCTTTTTCTGTTGTTGTTTTTGTTAGTTGTTTTACTGTTTCACCTGCATGTATATACATGCAGAGCTGGAGTTACAAATGGCTCTAAGTCACGCCATGATGGTGCTTATTCTATGCAGGAGCAACAAGTGCTTTGAAAAACTGAGCCACCTCTTCTGCCTCCCAGTATTTGTTTGTTTGTTATTAGTGTGTGTCCATGTAGGTCAGAGGACAACTTTGTGGGGTTTTCTTTCTTTGTTCACCTTTATGTGGGCTCGGGGGATCGAATCTTGTTCGCCATGCTTGCATGGCAGGTACCTTAACCTACTGAGCCATCTCACTGCACCACCCCAAGTATTCCTGAGCAAGTGCCTCACGTTTACTTTCTTTATTTCCCTACTTCTGAGTCATTGTTCAAACCAGGGACACTTCTGTGTACACTTCCCTCTGTGAAAAATCCCCAGCAACATCCTACACATTAAATCTACTGGCCCCCATCTTCGTCCTGATGTGGGATTCCCCTCAGTATGCTGTGAATATCATTGGTTAACAAAGGAATTGCTTTGGGCTTATAGCAGAGTTATAGGGGAACAGAGCTAGGTGGAGAAAACTAAAGGGAATGCTGGGAGAAAAGAGACAGAGCCAGAGAGATGCCATGGAGCTTTCACTGGAGACAGGCACTGAAACTTTGCTGGTAGGCCACGACTTTGTGGTGATGAGAAAATTAATAGAAATAGATTAAATTAAGATGTAAACGCTAGCCAATAAGAAGCTAGACCTAATAGACCATGCAGTGATTTAATTAATACGGTTTCTGTGTGATTATTTTGGGGCTGAGTAGCTGGAAACCAAACAAGCGACCTCCTTCAACATCCTCCTCCTTAAGATTTTGGAATCATTGTGCAGGACTAACTAATCCACTTTATTCCTGACTTCTCATGCAGCTTCTCTGACAATTTGCTGTTCTACTCTTCTCTTTTTCTTCAGGCCCAGCCCCTATTTACCTTCTCATCTGATGAATCTGTAGTCAGTGTTTAAATTTGCTTTCTGAGTGGATTGAAGATTTTCCCAAGGAGTCTTAAAGAATTATTGCTGAGTATGTCTGTGAATGTGTTTTCAGAGGAAAGGCATTACAAGTTAGAGAACTCACACGTTATCTACACCAGGCAACCCTAGTGCAATATTGTAAAGTACCATCAATCATCTGGGAACCCAGAGAGAACAGAAAGATTCCTCTCTATCTCTGTCCTGGATATGGGATGCATGAGTTTTTCCTTGCTCTTCAACAATAGAAGTACAGGATTTTTTATCTTTGCACTCCAAAACATACACCATCAGCTTTCCACACCACCTTGGGTCATGCTACACTACTGACCTTTCTGGTACTGAGGTATTTTTCTCATACTGAGCTACATTCTATTGGCCTTTTTAAATCAAACTTCTTCATAGTCATGTGAGCCCATTTTCTAATAAACCTTCCTTCTCTATCTACCCATCCATCCATCCTCTACATATTGGCTATCCCTCCTTCCTGTTGGTGCTGTCCCTCTGAAGAGCTCTGCACTAGTTCCATTGTGCTTCTGAAACCAAGTTCTGACCTCTTGTAATTACTCTGTAGTAATTCATATTGATAGACAATCCGACTGAGTCTAGATTCACCTTGGAAATAAATCTCTGGGTATTTCCCTAAGAAAGTTTGTAGACCTGGTTAATTAAGGTAGGAAGAGCCACTATAAATGTGGGCAGCACCATTGCATGAGCTAGTATCCTGGAGAAATTGAGCTAGACCCCAGCATTCCTTGCTCTCTGCTTCCTGATTATAGATTCAGTGTGACCAGCTGATTCATATTTGTGTCACCCAGATATTTCTGCCACAATGGACTGTATTCCCTCAAACTGTGAGCTGAAGTAAACCCATCTTTCCTTTTAAAATATTTTTAAAATTTATTTATTTGTTTATCATTCTAGGTATATATGATGGTGGCATGTACCACAATGTGTGTATGGGGGCAGGTATGGAGGCCCCAAAATGAGCCTATTTTCATGTTGATCAAATAGAGTTGGAACTTAACTCTATTCCTTCAAGGTTATTCTGTTTCTACCTCAAACAAAGGTCCCGCCTAGATTTAGGTCAGAGAGTTCTGTTCTCTCAAGGTTATTGTCAACAGGTGTGGCTAATACCCAGACCTCATATTCAGGAATAGAGAAGTAGATATGTTTCTACCTCAAACAAAAGTCTAAAAATCCAACTAAGGTTCAAGTTCCTTTAAGGAGATAGCATTGGATTCCAATATTTTGGTCTAGGATGTGAGTATGACTTGTTTTGTTCTAGCAACAGAACATTGTAGCCTGTGACTTTCAACTGGTCTATATCATGTTAATGCAGTTTTTTGTCTTACTCCTATCTTGTGGGGTCAGAGGTATTTTTAAGCAATCGGAAATTAAATGTGGGTGATTTCGGTATTCACAGGACCTTCCTCCCAGTACTATTCTATGTTTTTCTGTCTTATTATTTTCACACTTTCATATTCCTTACTAATATTTATAAATCCTAACACCCCTACCCTAGTGAGTGGTATTTTTGTCAAGGCTGGTCCCTGGCAGGGTGGGGGTCAGAGGAATAAGTTTTCTTTTTTTGTTTTCATTCATGTTCTAGAGATTGAAGTTTGAGCATCAGACTTAGCCTGGCAATGTCCTTTATTTGCAGAGCTGCCCCATTCCCTTCTTTATGCTGCTTTATTAAGGTATTTTTGTCACAATAAGAAAAGTAACTAAAGACATTGTCTGAATTAGGGTTTCTATGCTGTTAAAAGACACCATGACCATGGCATTCTTATAAAGGAAAACCATTTAATTTGGAGTTGGCTTACAGTTCATTATCATTATGACAGGAAGCATGGGAGCATACAGGCAGACATGGTCCCGGAGAAGGAACTGAAGATTCTCCTGGAATGGCAGGCAGCAGGAAGAGAGAGTGACACTGGACCTGGCTTGAGCATCTGAAACCTCAAAGCCCACTCTTTTGAACAAGACCATACTTATTCCTCCAACAATGCCCCACCTCTTAATAGTGTCAATCCCTGAGACAATGGGGGCCATGTTCTTCAAAACACCACACTTTACCCCTGGTTCCCACATGTTTTTAGCCATATTATGATGCAGACATGCATTCAGTCCAACTTTGAAAGTGCCTGTAGGCTATCAGTCTGAATCCTGTTGCAAGTCTCTACTGAAGTCACTATTCCCTTTATTCCCTTTAGCATCAAGCTTTTCTTTAATCTCCTTACACTTCCTGGTGATCTTTTTCTCCTCCAACTGTACATTTTGTGTTTTTTTTTCTTACTTGGCTTGTTCTTTTTCCTTGTAGGTCTTTCTAAGACTGGTCACACAACAATCTAGTCAGTGCTAGATTGTTTTGAAATGACCTTTCTTAAAGCTGTTAATCCATAATTCTTCACTTTAGCCCCAAGCAGATTTTTTGGACAAGGGCAGAAAGCAGCCACATTCTTCACCAAAAAAATATCACAATGTCTCTAGGCCACGTACTAATAGTCTTCCCCTCTGAAACCTCTTGAGCCAGGCCCCACAGTTCAAGTCACCCTCAACACCACTGTCTTCTAGGTTCCTACTATTATGGTCCATTAAATTCTGCTTCAGCTATGTTTCTGATTTAAGATCCCAAAGTTCATAATTCTCCAAACAAAAGCATGGTCTGGTCTATCAAAGCAATACCCCAGTCCCTGGTACCAACGTCTGTGTTAATTACGGTTTCTATTGCTATGAAGAGAAGAGACACAATGGCCAGAGCAACTCTTGTAAAGGAAAACTTTTAATCAGGGCTGGCTTAGAGTTCAGAGGTCTAGTTCATTATGATCATGGGGATCATAGCAGTGTGTAGGTAGACATGGTGTTGGGGAGAATATAGGCAGATGTGGTGTTGGAGAGTAGCTGGGTTTTACATTCTGACTTGCAGGCAGCAAGAATGAGTGGGCCTGGCTTGAATTTCTAAAATTACAAAGCCCACCCCTACTGACACACTTCCTCCAACAAGGCCACACCTCCTAACAGTGCCACTCCCTATGAGACTTTGGAGATCATTTTCATTCAAACCATCACACACCCTGTTCTAAGTGAGCCCTTGTATCTTCTCAAGGGCATCTGAGTTCATCTTTGTGGACTGGACCATGCTATCTATCGTGACCGCTCTACTGATAGCTTTGAGTATTATGTTCCCAATTTCTAGACATAAATTTCCATGGATCATCTATATATTTGAAGACAAAGAGATAGTGTGTTTGACTAAAAACAATGTTTGAACTTTAGAATTAGACCTAGGTTGGAATCTCCAAGTTAGTTCCTAAAGAGATATTAGGTCATAGCTATTTATGTAAACTGAATTTTCTCCCATTTACAATAATCCCTATTTTTGCTTACATAAGGTAATATGTTTGAGCTCAACACAAGGGAACTGTAGTTTTTTTTTTCCCTCTGCATTATTCTTCCCAGGTTACAATGCCATAGAGATCTTAGGCATGGATTTAACAACGACTTCCTCTTCCTGTCACCCACATCCAGTTGGTCAACAAATCCCATTGATTGTTCCTCTATAATGCCGCCCCACCCTTCCACCCCCTTTCACCATTCCTCTGCCAGTGCCCTACTTTGTCTCCAGCCAGAATTATGACCTTATATTTATAGCTACATTTTTGTTACAATTATACTCTTTAGTAATGTTACCCATTTACCTGCCTCAGCCCTGAAATGAGTTCTACTAACTTGAGAAGAAATCTGTCAGCCTCTTATCATGCTCAGTGTACTTCAGATCTTTCCATCTTAAATCAGAACACCACTGAACCTTTATACAAAGAAATCCAATGCATTGTCACCTATCATTGCTGCTTTTTCTTTACCTCCTAAGCTTCAAATGCCTTCTCTATGCTCTATCTCAACCTATCAAAATGTCTAAGTCATAGACTGGGAGTATAGCGCAATAGCAGAGCATTTGCCCATGTAACATAAAGCTCTTGGTTCCATCTCCAGTACTGCCAACAAACAAAAGGGCTTAACTCATTCAATTAGATATCTGTATATCATCCCTGTTTCACATCTCTCATCTCTCGTAGCCAATAGTAATGTTCTTATCTTTATATCCAAAAGATGAGAACCTACCCAAATACCTATTAACAGAAGGTAGTTTGTGTGTGTGTGTTTATGTATGAGAATGAGAATGTGTGTGTGAAAGAGAGATACACAAACACACAGAGAATGAGAATATGTGTATATGTGTGTGTGTATGTGTGTGTGTGTGTGTGTGTGTGTATACAAGTACATACATATATTATATAACCTATCCTTAAAGAGGAAGGAGATTTGGCCAAATGCTACAATGTAGACAATGCTCTAAGATATTGTGTATTAAGTGAAATAAGCCAAAAAGGAAAGGACAAATAGAATCTGATATCATTCCAATGAAGTACTAGAATTGGAAAATTCCTGGAGACAGGGAACAGAAAAACATTGCCAGGAGCTACAAGGAGGGAGTATACAGAGATTTTCTTTTTTAATGGGTAAGAGTTTCAGCTTTACAAGAAAAAAAATTCAGTACATCAGTGGTACAGGGCAATGTGATTGCACTTTCTGTCACTAGACTATGCTTTAAAATGGTTAAGATGTAAACACTTTTATGTAGAGTTTTATCATAATTTAAGTAATTTTAAACTAATTTTTAATTGTAGAGATTATGAACCAAGGACTGTGCCAGGCACTAAGAATACAGAAATAAATAAAATGTTCACGGTCCTAGGTGCACCTGTGATTAGACAAGACTCATATCCCATTTCTGCCAGGAAAAGCCTAGTTAACCACACTTGAAATATAAACCTTTCTTCTCTTCTGTATCTATTTTAGCACTTGTCACATCCCACTCTGCATTGTATCTGGTCCTTGTAACATTTGTCTCTCTTGTGAGATAATAAAATACCCTAAGGTCAGGAGCTCCATCTTATCTATTCATTTTTCAATCTATCAAAGCACTTAATACAGTTCATTGCACATAATGGGAGCTCAATA